GGGTCGGGACAGAACTCTACCACCCCTCCCCAGTGAGTCCTTCCGGTGGCCAAAGAGGCCTCCTGTGGGAAGGGCAGGAGTGTAGGCAGGCCACATCCAAATCAGAACCAGTAGGAGAATGATCCAGCCACTCGCTCAGCCAGTCTCTGCCTCAAAGACACCTACACTGGGGTGTGTTCTCCAGGGGACCCCAGTGTGGGGTGCTCCCCAGGCTGGAATCCTGAGGCCCTTCCCTCCCTCACAGCCCAGGGCTTCCGTCCAAATCAGGGCTGGAGGATCAAGAAGTTTGGTGAGCACAGAGGTAGCACTAAATGATACCAAAAGCATCCAAAGAAGATGGAAAAAATGCATAGTCAGTGGACCAAAAAGCACTCATTGACAGTGGTGATAGTTTTTTTTTGTGCTAACATGGCACCCGTAGGACCTTGTGGGTGGAGTCTAGCCTGTCAATCAAGTCACAGTCAGGTGGTGCTTCCTTGTGGGTGTGACCTCGTAACAAGGTCTCCCCCACTCTCTCTCTGCCTTCACCTTCATGCTGGTGAGCCACGCTGAGGCTGGCGAGCCATGCTGACACCTGTGCCAGAGCCCTGGAGATGCTTCCATCACCATTTGATCCACAAGGGTTTTCACCCACCAGCCTGTGATCTTCCTGCATCATTGCATGAGTCTGAAGAGGGATTTATGAACTAGTATCAGACTTGTGGACTTCAGTTGGCCTGGGCTGGGCTGTTTTCCTTATATACAGTTACTTCTTGATATAAGCTCTTTTCATACATATATGAGTGTCCCTGGAGTTGTTTCTCTAGTCAACCCGACCTAACACAATATCCAACCATTTCACGAGGTAGCATATGAGCAAGAATCAATGGTACTGAAGAAAGAAGTCCAAACTTCTTCCAACTGCAGGCATTAGTCAAAAGCAAGGGTCCAGGAATTGATTGAATACCCACTGAAATATTTTAAACAAGTTGATGAATTGCTGGAAGCACTCACTTGCCTATGTTTTGACCAACTGGCAGGAGGAGATCCATATTTGCACCCACAGTAAAGGAAGGTGACCCACACAATGCTCAAACTACAGAATAGTCTCATTGACATCACATGTAAGTAAAAACTTTGCTGAACACCATCCAACAATGATTGCAGCAGTACATTGACAGGAATTCAGAAGAGGATGTGTTCAGAAGAGGACATGGAACATGCTGATTTCAGCTGGGTCTTAGGTCAAAGTAAAGAATGACAGAACGATGTTTCCTTGACTACTCAGAAGCACTTGACTGTGTGGATCATAAGAAACTTGACTGTTTTAAGAGTTTAGTATCTGATTCTACTTTGTTAATACTGATTTCTTCTGCTTATTGTTATTGATACAATGGTCGAAAGAAATGACTGGGGGGGAATATGAAAATAGAGAACTTGTAAGCCCTCTTGCCTCAAGCCATTAATTTGATCTTTAGATGTGTTTAGGACACAGAGAAGGCTCTGAAAAGATAAGCCCCACCCAGTGCTTTGGAGAACTCGGGACATTTGCACTCCAAGAGACTTGCCTGGGGACAAGATTGACAGATTGAAGATTACGGGTGGGGGTGGGGGGGGCCCGCGGCAGGATTCTTTGGATTTGAAGTTTGAACTCTAGTGGCTTTTGTCAGAAGCTGGAAAATATCTGGAGCCATGAAGAAAACTCCTCTATGGTACTGAACATTAAAGGGAGCCTGTGGGCAGGCCGAAATGCTTGCTAGGTGACCACCTGGATCCACTTGTTGACAGGCAGTGGGAGAAACGCAGCAATAAAGAGACAGGTTGAGTTTGGCTACTGACACCTGTGGACTTGGTTTACAGAAAAAAGAGAAGACAAGAGTGGGTTGACTAGTCTAAAGCTCATGACCTAGCACGAGGGGGCTAGGCTTGTTGAGTATTGGTGAGAGCCGATGGTCTAAGGCAAGGCGACCACTGGACATCCCAGTGAGGCTAAGAGAGGCAGCCCACATTGAGTTGACCAGAGCTCGACCAGATGAAGAGAAGGTTTTTGAACCTGTGAACTGGTGCATATTGCTGTTGACTTATGAATGGCCTATCCTGATTTGACTTTGCTTATGGATGCCGATTTCACAAGGTTCCAACTGGAATGAAGATTATCAGGTCGAAAAATATGATTGTCTCCTCAGAGCACTGGGTTGATGTAAGCGGGCAACATAGAAATTGGATACTCAAAATTGGGAGGATAAACGCACGAAGTGGTTGGTTTACAAACTTTCATAGGTGGGGGAATATATTCCTAGGATTATAGGATTAAGGTGTTGGTGTTACTTAACTGCAATTGTTAGGCATAGGATATTTTTGTTTTGTTCATTTATAAAATGTTATGTTTAAATGAGGATGGCACATATTGAATTGTATGCATTTTCATTTCATCCTGTTAGATACAGATATGATTTCATTATTGTTTGTTTGAAAATTACATATGGTTGCAGAGTTATGTGAAAGTGTCAAATTGACAAGGGGTGGTCTGGGGTAGGTATATAACCCTTTGTCATTTTGAGGATGAAGAGTGTAGGGGTGGAGTCTAGCTTGTCAATCAGATCATAGCCAATGAGGCCTCTGTGTGGGCATGGCCTTCTCCTGAGAATTCTGGGAAATCCAGTACTTCCTCCTTGCAGGCATGAGACACCTCTCTCTGTCACACCCTGAGAAACAGTGCAGCTGACAAGACACATGGACCTAGTGCCCTAAGTTGGAAGAGCCACATAGGCCTACTCTGATGCAACCAGACCTCTGAAGCCGGAGAAGCCACCTAGAGACCCCTGCCAGCACTGAGATGCTTACAACGCCACTGAATCCAAAGACTTGTTGTGATTGTCCTGCATTTGGCATCACTGCATGTGTTTCGTGAGTCTGAAGAGGACTTTATAGACTGGTATCAGACATATGGGCTAGTATTGGACTTATGGGCTTAGACAGGACCGGGTTGGGATGCTTTCTCAATGTCCAATTCCTCTTGTATATAAACCTCTTTCTTATACACATATGTTGTCTATGAATTTGTTTCTCTAGTCTACCCAGACTAACACAGTGCTCAGGCAGAAGCTATACATGGACCAAGAGGCAGTTGTGCTAACAAAACAAGGGACGACTTACTGCATGGTTCCAAATCAGGAAAGGAGCCTGGCAGGCTTGTGGCCTCTCACAATATGTATTCAATCTGTGTTCTGAGCAATTACCACTTGCCAGTTTGTTACAGCATGGTGGCTTGTATGCTGAGCAAATCTTATTCAATCTGTATGCTGAGAAGCTGGCTTTATGGAGAAGAACGTGGCATCAGGGTCGGAGGAAGGCTTATTAACAAACTTCAATGTAAAGACGACACGACCCCTTTTGCTGAAAGTGAGGAGGGCCTGAAGCACTTGCGGATGGAGATCAGGGATGGCAGCCTTCCTGTGGATGACAACTCGGTGTAACGAAGACCCAAACCCTCACGACTGGGCCAGTAAGCTGTATCATGAAACACGGAGAAAAGACTGGAAACCATGTGTGGCTGCTTACTCCAGAATAGCACAAGCCAACTGGTGTTCCTTTTGTTTGCCGGGTAACTTGACACGCGGGGGTGGGGTGGGTAAAGACAGGGATGGTGGTGCCATCTGTTCTAAACTAAAGGGAGAGCGTCCAGAAGACACTCAAAAGGATTCCCCTCTCAGGGTCACCAGTGAGGGGCCTCAGGTGTAAGTCGTGCTCCGAAGGTGCCTGGCTGCCCTGCGGAGCCCAGACCCCTGGTGCTACACGTTTCCCGCCCCACCCCAACCCCACTCACTTTCTGAAGCAGTGGGCAGCCGTGAGCACCCAGTGGTGACTGAGCAGGGTGGCTCCGCAGTGGTGTGACCTGCGGAAGCGCAGGCTGCCTTGCCAGGGCCACACCCCGTGCTGAGAATCCTGACCCCCCACGATGCGCGGGTGGATGTTCCGAAGGCCGCAGGGCGCTGGAGTGGACACACGGATAGACAGGCGGCTGAGCGGCAGTGGGCGCAGGGGGCTGAAAGGGAAAGGTGTCCCCCCACCCCCAGGATCTCTGAGGGATACAGGGTATCAGAGACTGGTCCCTCCTCCAGGCCCTTCACCTACTTGTGAGCATTGTCCACTTCCCGTCACCTGGGGGAGGGGAGAGGAGAGAAGTGAGGCCCTTAGGCCCCCCAGGGGTGGCCCCACCCCGAGCCCTCCTCCCCCGGAACCATCGCCCCTGCTCACTTGAGGTCTCGAACAGCGACTCCCGGCCCTGGG